AAAATCAATGTTCTAAAGCAGCGGTTCTTAATACTGTTCCTCGCGACCCCCTGTTCTGCATCTCTCTCTCTTGCTCATTCAGCTCAGCTCCAACAATGAACTGTTCCAATTATACACTTATTTACACATATCTATGAGAAGCATTATGCATGGACGCACGTGCAGTTGCCGTACTGTATTAAAGCTTTAATCAGGATAAAACCGTATTTTAAAAGCTAACATAAGCAGTAGAATTTACAAATAACAGCATATCTAAAAGTATGAGACAACAACAAACAAAAAACATAGGCCTAACATTAAAAGCCGTGCTTGCACCGGTTCTGCACGATCCTCTTCAATAATATCCTCTGCATCTCAATCGGGCTCAAACTGATAAGCGATATTAAAGACGCCGTTGTTTACAATACAACTGGAGCACATGCCGCTGAGGTGAGGGACAGGACGTTTAGACGAGCACTAGAGGCGGTTTAGCCAATCACAACACACTGGGCTAGTTAACCAATCAGAGCCCATCGCCTATTTCTGAGGGCGGGGCTTCATAAGAGAACAGGAAAAGATCAGCCCGTTTCTCAGAGAAGGGACAGATCGGTATGGAATTAAGGTAAATTATGTGAAAAATAATGTTTTTTTTTTTTTTTTAAACAAAGCATTAATATGTTACACTGCCCCCCATAAACACAATCAAGCCTAGAAAAAAAACCAGTGAACCACCCCTTTAAGAAATTTTAACTGACCCCAAACTTTTGAACGGTAGCTTATGACACTCATCTTTAATAAAAGCAGTTATAGACTGACCCGGAATATCTGACAGAGGTAGTCCAGTGCTTTGTCCAGGAACTCATGGGTTTTCTTCACACCCTCTCCCATATCATCCATCTCTCCTCCGTTAAAAGTGTTGTTATGATCCGAGGAACCAACGCTAAACCATGAGAGAAAAGAGTTGTTTGCAGCCATTTCCGTGGAATGATCCGATATCCGTTTAGCCGTCTGTCGGGCTTGGGCGATAATCTGGATGAGCTTTAGCACCTGGAATTGACAGAAGGAATCATGGTCTATAATATCCTTATCTGTTTTCACACCATTCATGATCACATGACTGCTCATCACATGCATCCAACATTGATTTTAGCACTAATTAGAACTAGCATTAATTGTCAGCTTACATTCTTCCGTAGATCAGGACCAAACATCAGGTTGTACTGGCATTCCTGCCCTTCCAGGCTGTAAACATGACTTTTGACTTTGAAGACGCTGTCTGTCCCCATTGGCTGGCGGGAAGAAAGGAAGCTGCCACCATGTGAAGGTGTCAGGAAAACACGGTTCTGTCGTTGCAGGATGGCATGCTCTGGCTCCAAGAACAATTGCTCAGCTGGAGATACAAATTCTCAATGATTTGCTCATAATAAAGCAATATATCATATCATATAAAAAAATCTCTCACACAGCACCTGGAATTGACAGAAGGAATCATGGTCTATAATATCCTTATCTGTTTTCACACCATTCATGATCACATGACTGCTCATCACATGCATCCAACATTGATTTTAGCACTAATTAGAACTAGCATTAATTGTCAGCTTACATTCTTCCGTAGATCAGGACCAAACATCAGGTTGTACTGGCATTCCTGCCCTTCCAGGCTGTAAACATGACTTTTGACTTTGAAGACGCTGTCTGTCCCCATTGGCTGGCGGGAAGAAAGGAAGCTGCCACCATGTGAAGGTGTCAGGAAAACACGGTTCTGTCGTTGCAGGATGGCATGCTCTGGCTCCAAGAACAATTGCTCAGCTGGAGATACAAATTCTCAATGATTTGCTCATAATAAAGCAATATATCATATCATATAAAAAAATCTCTCACACATACCCTTCTGGATCATCTCTGACAGGTTTGGTTGAACAAAGACTTTGGCGACCCTAAAGACCATCAGGGCGTTTTTGGCATTGACCAAGTCTGTGCGCATGGCTCGATTCAAGAAGCCCTGGAAAAGCTTTGTGTACACAAGCAAATTCTCCTGCACAAATGAGGCCCTGTAAATGACAAAGACCCAGTTGGTAAGCACTGATCTGAACGTCACAAACTGCCAAAACACATTCAATGCTCTCTGTGAAACAACATTTGATGTACACTACTATTAAAATGTTTATTTATTTATATATATATATATATATATATATATATATATGTGTGTGTGTGTGTAAAAATAATTTTAACAGCATTTATTTGAAATAGAAACCTTTAGTCAAATTCTAAATGTTTGTACCGTCACTTTTGATAAATTTAATGCATCCTTGATGAATAAAAGTATTCATATATATATCTCTCTCTCTCTCACCAACCCCAAACTTTTGAACAGTTTTAACAAGCACCCAATATATAAAAATACCATTTATCGAGAACAGTTCTGTTTTGTCCGTCTGCTTGTGTGTTGTTTTTTTCTCCAGTGTATCTCCAGGGCTGGATGTAACTAAGCCATGTCTCTAGTACCTAAACGACAAAACAAACATATTACTTTAAAATACATCCATTTAGCATCATAGCCTTCACTACGTTTTGAACAGTGCATAATGTTTACTGAAAAGTAGGCTCCAAACATCAGTGTGCACTCAAGGACATTTACCGCTCTGAATGAGGCGTCCAAAGGCCAGTGACCAAAACAGTGTTGTAGGAAGACATACAGCTTTTGCTGAACAAACCTCTGTACCACCACACTAAGAAAGACAGAGAGTGGAGGCTTATTGACAGAGCAGTAAAACAGAAGACAGCTTAATCAAGTCCCCAGCCCCTGATCAGGCGAATAGCTCCTCTTTATGACATGCCAGCTTAGATTTACAGATGTTTTAGTTCTATAGCCTGATTATCTGGATGAGTTGACAGAGGCTTGCAGGCTGTAAAAACCCACCGCTTGAGCTCTTCCAGAGGACTGCTGTGGGAGTGGGCAGAGGGTGAGGAGAAGATTGACTCCTGCTTCAGACTGCTGGAAAAGGCGTGCAGATGCTTGACCAGAAGACGCACAACAAGGACGTGCTCCTCCGAAGGCGTGAAGGGCTCCTAAGACATCATCCAAACACAGGTCAGATTTTTACCATCCGAGAACCCATTTCTACCTGGTATTAACCAGTTTGTCTGACATTTACATGCAGTAACAGAGAGGTTAATTTAAGGAGCTTAATTAAATCCATTGATTTCTATAGAGTAGTACTGGTAATTCTCAATGTTCTTAATTTCATAAACTGGTTTAAAAAAAAAAAAAAAAACTCACAAAAAGAAGAAAAAAACCCCCAGAAGTGGCCACACTAAACGCATTCATGACGTCTGTTACTACGAGGTGTAAATGTCATCCGTCTCGTCTATCCACTTTTGATGGGATCATCTGAGATGGATGACAATACCAGGTGTAAACAGGCAGCATATACAGACTGACAACAACCCCTTACATGGCATCCACAGTGAAATACGTTATCAAAACCATCTTACTTAGGGTTTCACATATATAGTTGAAACAAGGTATTTTTGAAAACAATAAAACAAAAGATGTCTGAGCAATCTGAATATTCTGTGTAGTGTAGTAGTGTTTGCATAGTTGAAGGCACAAAAACAAACAACCCAAAAAGATACAGATAAATAAAAACAGCAAATCAAATAAAATTGGTTAAAATCTCCATAAAAAAGACATGCTTTAAAAAAAGAGACGCATTTCTCACTACAAGCTCTGAACATCACAATATATTCTAATAATTTAGTAAATCACAAGACTAATTATTAGTCACATAAATTCAATCACACATTATAATCAGACCAAATCTCCCAACTTAAGACTGGCCTAAACCATTAATGTTAAAATCAACCCCTAGTCTAACTCCTATCTAATTTTAGGTTACCTCCAGGAAGCCCGTGGAACTGAATGAAAAGGTAAAAGTACTTGGTATGTGTGGAGGGTCCCAGAGCCTGATGGGGCGGGGGGTTGGCACAGCATGCTGGACATACTGAGGCGGTACTGCAACAACGCCAGCTGAAGGACCCATCACAAACGGGTGGAGGGGAGGGGAGAGGAGAGGGAAGAGAGGAACACAGTGGGGGAAGGAAAGGAAGAAAAGGGGAGAGGGGAGCAGGGCAGTGAACATAAAAATAGAAAGGAAAAAATGGACAGAGTGCAATCCAAGAAAAATAGTTGGACATCGGGACCAAAATGGGGGTGTGCAAAAGGAAAGAAAGAAACAAATCGATATTGACCACAAAAGAGAAATGCAATGAATATGAAGATGATGCAGTTGTCCTTTTCGCAAAAATTGCAAACTCTAGTGTAATGTGACATGGTTTGATTTTCTAACTGAAATATCACCAAAGGATATATTCTTAAAAAAATTACAGAGAAAATGGTGTCTAACTGCTTTTCTGTTACTGACATTTTATAAAGTAAAACTAATTTTGGAATGATGCTAACTAGAGTATAAACTACAGAAAACTGTAGAATTGGATTGCCTCAGGAAGCCTGGAAAACGTAGTCAAGGCAACCAAGGAACATCATTTTTAATCTGGCCCTTGATTCACAAGAGAATTGTCTGTTTGATGAAGTATGTTATATTACCTTCGGCTTTAGCTTTATCTAATCTCTATGATTTCAAATAAAACCAAATGGAGCTTATAAAAGCAGAAAAGGAGACTGCATCTAATGTTTTCACCATGAAACACACTGATAGCAGTCACCAATTTACAATTTTTTTCCCTCCATATTAGAGGTCGTCCGATTATCGGCGCCGATATTACGCATGTTTATGATTATCGGTCATTTTCAAAACCGATTCGCCGATAAAATAACTTAATTTTGAAATGCGCTATTTGGCTCTGATGCAGCCTGCCAGACCTCACCACTCTGTGATCATGCATCAGTTGTCTCTCAAAGGTAAGGCAGCAGCAGACATTGCTTAATTTGCAGTAGATCCCAATCCACTAACGTTACACTAAAGTTGCAAAACACCTCAATATTATCTATCCGCGATTCTCGGACGGAATCCAGTCATGGAATTTACTGTATGACGCGGAATGTCACGGAATTTGTCAAAGTTTGGATGAATTAATCAAAAGTAGGCCAGTACACTTAAATAGAGTCTCAATATGGACTAGTATCTGTAAATATTAAGGCGCAAAAATACTATTTAAATATGGATCCAGCATGTTCTGCGTGTCTCAGTATGTAAAAGGCACAGACGAGCGGTGCGACGCTTGCGGTGATTTCAGCTTCTGACATATCACTACATGAGGACATAAATACATGAACAACATCTCCAGAACTGCTCTGACTCCCTCTAAGAGTCACTTTATGAGCATTTGACAGTTTCATTGGAGTAAAACTATCTTCATATCATTTACATAGACCTACAGAAACAAGTTCCTCATGGCAACCCGTCAAAATATAAATTCGGGTTAGCTTAATGAAATTATCAGAAATATATTACTGTGGTGCAGTATGATGTA